TATTTAAAGGATAAGAGAGTTACAAAAATTACTGATCAACAAAAGGAAAGAATGAATTATCCTATAACAGAGGAGGAGATAACAGCAGCAATTAAACAGCTAAAAACAGCCAAAGCTCCTGGCACGGATGGTTTGACTGCAGTGTACTATAAAACTTTACAAGCTGAAATGGTGGGACAACTTAGAGATTTATTTTGCAATATTCAACAAGGGGGTAAAATACCCCCATCCTGGACAACTGCTTATATATCTTTGATACCAAAAGAACAAGTTGGTCCTAAAAAACCAGAGAACTACAGACCAATATCTCTTTTGAATACAGACTATAAAATTTACGCGAAGGTATTAGCCAACAGGTTGATGCCAGTAATCCAAAAGGTGATTCATGAGGACCAAGCGGGATTTATTGAGGGTAGATACATGAAGGACAATGTAAGGCAAGTAATAGACTTATTGGAATATCTTGATAAGAATAAACAGATTTCTGCAGTGCTGGTCTTTTTGGATGCGGAGAAGGCCTTTGATAGAGTGGATTGGAATTTTCTACTAAAGACTTTAAAAAAGATGGGCTTTGGGGACCAGTTTACACAGGCAATTTCAGCAATTTATCAAGAGCAAAAAGCACAGATTATTATTAATGGAAGTTTGACGACAGAGTTTAAAATTGAAAAAGGAACAAGACAGGGATGTCCGTTGTCCCCACTTTTATTTATTTTAACATTGGAAGTCTTGCTAAATACAATACGGGACTCAAAAATTTTGAAAGGCATAATGATAAGGCAAGAGGATTATAGAGTAAAGGCATTTGCAGATGATCTGGTGGTTACCCTATCACAACCAATGGAATCAATAATCTTGATGAACGACATTATACAAGACTATGGTAGAGTTTCAGGTTTCAGAGTGAACTCAAAAAAGACTAAAATGATAGTCAAAAATATGACACAAGATCGTAAATATGAGTTTGAAAGGAGGGCAGGTTTTGAAATTGTACCTAAGGTAAAATATCTTGGAGTTCAGGTTGCAGAATCAAACATGAAATTGTTTCAAAATAACTATGAGGTGTTGTGGCGAGAGGCTCAGAAAGACATGGAGACTTGGAAAAAGCTGCAACTGTCTTTACTTGGAAGAATAGCAGCAGTTAAGATGAACATTTTGCCAAGATTTCTGTTTTTGTTTCAAATGATTCCGGTGCTTAAAAGTGATAAACAACTGAAAGTTTGGCAAACTGGACTTAATAAGTTTGTCTGGAACGAGAAAAAGCCGAGAGTGAAATTGAAAATTATGCAAGATGTTCCAGAAAGAGGAGGCCTTAAACTTCCAAACCTACAGCTATATTATGATGCAGCAGCTTTAACTTTAACAAGTGATTGGTTTGGAAGTAAAAAGGCTGGAATATTGAATGCAGAAAGTTTTGATCTTGAATTTGGATGGCATGCTTACCTATTTTATGATGACAAAGTTGATAAAGTATTTAAAAGTCATATACTTAGAGACTCTTTGATGAGAGTTTGGAAGAAGCACCGATTCAAATGGGATTATAAAATACCGCTATGGCTGGATCTTGGTCATACCTTGTGGAATACAAATATAATGTCACTCGGGGGGTTTTTATACAAAGAGGTTCTTTTTACAGATGCGGGCAGATGGCAGTTGAAGACATTGCAGACACTGTTGGACGAAGGGATTAATTTAACCTGGTTACAATATAATCAATTACAACTGAGATGGAAAGAGGACCAAAAAACTGGTATTATGTTGCATGAGGAAGAATTGGTTAGACATATAAGAGAGAAAGGTCCAATGCATATTAAAAGGCTTTACAATGTTTTGCTAGAAAGGGATTCAGAAACGGAATTAGTTAAAGATTGTATGATTAAGTGGGCACAAAATTTTGAAGAACCAGTGATGTTGGAAACATGGGAAAAAATTTGGGTTCAGAATGTTAAATTTACACAGTCGCAGAATTTGAGGGAAAATTTCTATAAAATGTTTTATAGATGGCATCTAGATCCTAAAAAGTTGTCATGTATGTACCCTAATGTTCAGCCAAAATGTTGGAGATGTGAATGTTTGGATGCTACGTATTATCATGTTTGGTGGACCTGTAGGAAAGTTAAGGCTTTTTGGATAAAAATATGGTGGGTCATGCAGAATGTTTTGAAGAAAAAAATTCAATTTTCTCCACAATTGTTTTTATTGGGCATAGTTAAGGGTTTTACACGGGATGAAACAAAATTAATATTGTATATGATAACAGCAGCAAGATTGTTGATAGGTAAATATTGGAAGAATGAAGCTTTGCCTACTATCGAGGAATGGACTTCGAAGATGGCCAGTTTTGCAGAGATGGCGAAGATTTCAGCATATTTAAAAGATTGTTCACAAGAGACTTATGAATGGGAATGGAAAAGGTGGATAGAATATGTTCAGAACAAATACCAAATTAGAAAGTATCAAATAGCTTTTATTTGAAAACAATGTATTAGAAATATTTTAATATAAAGAGACAAAGAGGGAAAATTATGTAGGGGGAGGGATGGGTTCAGGTATATATATCAGTGTTATTAGTTATGAGTACATAATAGGGAAGTCTGGGGGGGGGAGGGTTAGGGAGGGTTAGGGAGGACGGGAAGTTTGGGGAGGGAGGTGGGGGGGTGAAAAAAAGGGGTGAAAAAGTAATTGTAAAACTTTTGCAATAAAAAAAAAATAAATATAGACATAGACAAGAAAAGAAATGGAGGGACTTAGAAGAGGAAATAAAAAAGAAAGAGCAGGCACTTATATTGAATCCAACAGATAAGAAAATAAAGGAAACAATAAATTTGTTGCGAGGGCAGTTCGACATGTTGATGGCAGACCAAGTGGCAACTAATTTACAATATGCTAAACATAATACTTTCTGTAATGCGAATAAACCAGGTAGATGGTTAGCTTATTTGTTAAGGAAAAAACAAAAGCCACGTACCATAGAAAAAAATAGAATACAAAGGTAAAGGGGTATATCAACAAAATATGATTAAAAAAGCTTTTTTAGAATTTTATACAAAGTTATATGCTAGTGATACAATTCAAGGTAAAGATATAGATAGATATTTACAGGAGGAGAATATTCCTGTAGTTACATCAGAGCAAAGGGAAGGACTGAACCAACCAATAACTTCGGAGGAAATGTTTTATAGATGGCATTTAGATCCTAAAAAGTTAGCTTGTATGTATCCGAATTTGCAATCTAAGTGTTGGAGATGTGATTGTGATGATGCCACTTATTATCATATATGGTGGACTTGTAAAAAAGTTAAAGCATTTTGGATTAAAATATGGTGGGTTATCCAAAATATTCTTAAAAAGAAGATAAAGTTTACTCCACAGTTGTTTTTGTTGGGTATAATCACAGATTGTACGGTTATAGAGACTAAATTGATCTTAAATTTAATAACTGCAGCTAGACTTTTGGTGGCGCAATATTGGAAGAAGGAAGATTTGCCTACTATTGAAGAATGGACATTAAAAGTAGCGAATTTAGCAGAAATGGCGAAAATTTCAGCTTATTTGAAAGATCACTCACAAGAAAGATATATATCGGAATGGAGAAGATGGATTAATTATATTCAAAACAAATATCGGACTAAAAAGTATCAAATAGCTTATGAATGAATAGAAAAATTAAGAGCATTCATATTTAGTTAAGTAAAAGGGGAGTTAAAGTGTGAAGGGGGGGATAGGAATCCATAGATAGTTAGCTTAGTTTACTATATGATTGTTAATTGTTATACCCTGTATTTTGTTCTGGGAAGTTCGAGGGCGGGGGATTGGGGGGGGTAAGGAAGGGAGGGGGGATGGGGAAATATTTGTAAAAAAATTTTTTTTTGTAAAACTCTTTAATTAAAAAAAATTAAAAAAAAAAAGTAAGGTCCTACACATAGGCAAGAAAAATCAAATGCACAGATATAGCTATATAGGTACCTGGCTCAACAATAGCAACTAGGTGTCCTGGTAGATCACCACTTAAGTAGGAGCTAGAAATGTGCTGCAGCTGCCAATTAATGCAGTCCTAGATACAACATCAGCAGAGAAGTAGTTTCAATATCACATGAAGTGGTAGTACCACTGCACTAATGAGATCATACTTGGAACTCTGCATACAGCTTTGGTCACTACAATACAAGAAAGATGTTGAGACTCTAGAAATAGTGCAGAGTAGAGCAACAAAGATGATAAGTGGTCAAGAGGCTAAACCATATGATGAACGATTGATGGAACTGGGTATAACTAATCTTATGAAGAGAAGGACTAGCAGTGACGTAATAGCAGTCTTCCAGTACTTAAGGGGGTTAACAGATTAACTAATTCAACCCCTGCCAAAGCAGGAGACCCCACACCATTTTTGACAGACAGTCCAGTCTCTTCTTGAAAGCTTCCAGTGATGAAATTCCTACAACTTCCGAAGGCAACTTCTGTTCCATGGGTTGATTGCTCTCACAGTCAGAAAATTTCTCCTTATTTCCAGGTTGAATCTCTCCTTGATCAGTTTCCATCCATTATTCCTTGTCTGGCCTTCGGGTACTTTGAAAAATAGCTTGACACCCTCCTCTCTGTGGCAGCCCCTCAAATATTGGAAGACTGCTATCCTGTCTCCCCTGGTCCTTCTCTTCACTAGCCTAGCCATGCCCAGTTCCTGTAACCATTCTTCATATGTTTTAGTCTCCAGTCCCCTAATCATCTTGGTTGCTCTTCTCTGCACTTTTTTCTAGAGTCTCAACATCTTTTTTATAGTGTGGTCACCATAACTGGATGCAGACCTCCAGGATCCCTTCCAACCCTATTATTCTATGTTCGATGGTCATCTTCAGATGCATAGTTTTGCCTCACTGGAGCAGGCTACAGTCCTCCTAAAGCCAAGCTTGTTGAGCTCCCTGTGCCCACTTAAGATGGTGTCCTGTGTTCTCCAGCCATCCAGCCATAGGTTGGTCTCAACTACTCTCTCATATGCTTTGCAGTGTGGATCTTGTCCATGCCCAAATCCACATCGCTGAGGGGAAGAGCCTGCCAGAGCTGGGCCTGAAGCAGGAGAATGTGCGCATCAATGGCTGTGCCATCCAGTGCCGTGTGACAACCGAGGATCCTGCTCGTGGGTTCCAGCCAGACACGGGCCGGATTGAGGTAGGAGGAGGCTGCAGTATGAGTTTTCTGTCCCAAAAATCTGTGGCATGGAGAAGATAACAGGTGGACAGAAGGGCCCCAGGCATCGTAAAGAGGTTTCCATCACTCATTCAGATCGGTATTTCTGCCTTTCATTTGATTGAGCTACAATTTTAATAGTTAATAAAAATGCAGACTTGCAGGCATAAAATCTACCCTCATAATGAGGATGGGAAGAATAATATAAATGGGCTCGACATAGTACAAGCTGTAAACTTTCCAATATCATTGGCCAATCAAAGATGAGTTTGCAAAAATCCCAGTCCGGCTGTGCTCACCTGCCCTGCCCTAGAGAATGTCCACTCCTGCCCAGTTGCCGGGTGCTTCCTGGGTGACAGATTCTGCCAGTCTGGCTCAGCCCAGAGCGCCTGGCAGCACCATTCGTCCTGTCTGCCAGCTTTTAAACTGCACCGTCGGAAGAGAGTGTGACTGCTGTGCCAGGATTTTATTTTTGAGATGTTCCCAACTCCCTGCACTTCCTTTGACTGCAGACTATCAGAAAATTATAAATAAAATTAATTTCTTCCTGCACAGCTCGAAAGAAGGAATGGAAGACTGAGGGATTCACATTTGTACAGAGCGGTAAAACATTAGATTTATGGAACATAGAAAAATAAACCAAGCATCTACCTAAGTCTCTGAGCAAATTTGTATCTGCAGAATTTTCTGAAGCAAATGTTCATTCATGTGCTCTCTCCTTCAAATTTCTGGAACGCATAAATTTGAATCTGAGACTATTTGGGGGAATGGCAAATTCCTCCTTTCTCAGCCTCTGTTCACAGTTGTTTGTCCAGTCACCTTTTAAAAGATTGCTGGGGCAGTTCTGCATTTGAGGGAGACCCTCTAACTGGAGAGGGGCGCAATTAAACCAAGTCCTGGATGGCATCAATCAGCTCTTGGCTGCTCATGAACGGGGAGTTTCTGGCCTCCCAACAGTCGCCCTGGTTCTCCTCCCAATTGTATTCAGTCATTTCTGTGTTTCTAGCTTTTTTTGATCTCTTGGCCCAGCAAGATCACACGGGAGGGCTTGTGACAGCCACTTCGGGTGCTCCTCTTCCAGGAGTCGCCAGCGCCTCGTCTCTGCCCCCTGCAAGCGCAGCAGCCTGTTCTCTGAAGCCTGTGGTGCCCTGCAGAGAGAATGGTAGAGAGTCTGCAGGGCCTCCCGTAGATGGTGGGGCTGAGGGAGGGCTTCTTGTCCTCCTTCCCCTCCAGCTCAGCACCCCCTCTCGTTTTCCTGAAGGGCAGTGGGGGTTTGGGCACTGGGGGATGAATCCCGGCAGTGCTGTCTCCGGCAATGGAAATAGAAACCGTTTGCTTTGTGCCTGTGTGTCCGGTGCTGCCTGCCCCTCATCAACCACCAGCTGCTGCCTGCTCTTTTGTTGTTGTTGGGGAGTATTTATTCAAGCCACTCACTACCCCAAAGCTCAGCTCTGTCTGCCCTGGCTGCTTTGCCCAGCATGGCGTTTTGCAGAGTCTGGACAAAACCACTTACGGGGTTTCCTAGTGCTTTGCAGGTCATCTATCTCAGTTGCCCCTATCATGGTTGACTTCCAGCCTCTGGGACAGCTGACTCACTCTGCACCGCAGGGACTTTCTATGGGGCAGGCGGAGACAGAGTTGGGTCAGGCTCTTCTGCCAGACCTGAAGGCTTCCCTGTCTTTGCCCTTCCCCTTGAGAGGGGGGTGGCACCATCAGAACAGTTGGCTTCACTGGGCCAGTGGGGGCAGGGCAGGTGGGCATCAATGCCCAAGGTCTTTCCTGCTTCCTGGAGGCTCCGGGTCTGCCAGGCTGGGCCCTTGTCTTTCTGCCCCTCATCTTCAGCCTGCTCCTTCTCTATAGGTCTCAGGATGCCAGGCTTGGCCCGCCTCCCTCCTCTTTGTCCCACAAAGCTTTTCCTCCCTCCTTCCCTCCCATTTACTCTTCAAGTAGCTCTGCCTCCCTCCCCCCCCACCTTTGTCTCATTCTCAGGAAGAGAAGCTCGATTGCAAACAAGATCTTCTGAAGTTTATTATGCTGCCATCCCTGGAATAATTTGTTGCTCTTCTCTTCCTTTCTCCCTGCTTGCAAAACATCTTGGTCCCTCCGACAGCCATTTGGTGCATACAAAACCCAATGAAGTGGTTTATAATCCAGAAGAGCTCGTGGGATGATGTTTTTACGTAATTTTATCTTTGGGCAGAGCATACTTCCCCCTCCATTTCTTAGTATTGAAGGTAATGGAAAGGCAGCAAGGAGAGCCCTTGCCTGACTCCCTGGTGGCCAGGGGGACCCTGAGCTCTCTGGACCTTCCCAGACTCTGGAAACTCAGGGGTTTGCCTCTCCCCCCCTCCCCAAATGGAAGTTGTCCCTGGAAGAGCCTGGGGGGCCAAGAGCCTCCTGCTCCCCACTAGTGCAGGGCCCCACTTGAGCCATAATTGTCTTATTGGGCAGATACAGTTCCAGGTTGCTTACTTCCTCCCTCCCTGCCAAGCCTCCCCTCCTTTGCCAGTCTCTCCAGCTCACTGATAACGGTCTGCAATTAAAGATAAATTTAGAATAAAGCCGTTTCTCTTTTCTGTCTTCTTGAGGTCCGAGCTCAAAGGGATGAGAGCTTGAGGAAGCGAAGAAAAGGAGCTTAGGATGCCTTTTTGCCTTTCATTATCACTGATCTTTGGGGAGGATATTGCCAGGCCTGCTCTGCTTGTTTCCTCCGGCAATGGCACCATCTGTCCGGGTGGTTCTTCCAGCAAAGAGGCTGCTGCTGTTTGAAATCCTCTCCTTCGCCTGAACCCCACTTTGGCTTTCTGCCCACCAGCCCCGGCCCTGCGCTCCAGTTCAGAGAGGACATCCGTGGCAGCCTTTGTACCCCATCTCATCTCTCCTCCCTGCCCCTCCCCCGTCTCCTGCCTTGCAAGCTAAGCAAGTTCTTCCTGGGGTTTGACACCAGCCCTCTCACCCCGCTGGCAGCCTCTCCCTTGGTCAGGACACAGGATGCGAAAGCGGCTTGCTTGCGCTCAGCTGGTGGCGTCCTAGGCCCCAGGTGCTTCTCACCCCAATGCCACTAGGCAGGTCTCTTAGCAGAGAGGTCAACATGCCTTTGGATTTCCCTGTTCTTACTCAGAAGCAGGACTTTGCTGAGGGTTTACTGGGGGTCTGGTAAATAGAGATTTTGCCGCAGGTGTTAGCCAATCCCTCAGCTTGATATCACCCACACATTTCCTAAGCCTCCCTTGCAATCCATTCTTTGCAGAAACAAGAGCTGAAGAGAGAGAGCACACTTGGTGCCTCTGTCCAAAATGAGACACCACCTGTAGCAACGCCTCCTCTGGGCCAGAAGGATATCAGGGGAAGCTTTGTCTCCTGAGATCCAGGTGCTCGGCATCTCCATCTCTGGTTGACCGAAACCCTGTTCTCTATCATTAAATGCCTCCTTCCACCTTCTCTTTGGCACCTTGGGCTTCCTTGGCACTACTGAGCGGATTGCTGCCTCTCTTGCTGCTTTTACAAGTTCTGCCAGGCAAAAGACTTTTGGAAGGACTACAGTGCATCCCCCAAACAAGCTGTGGGTTGCTTTTTGATTCCATGGGCAGCCAAGGCTTGGCTTGGTTTATGAGGAATTGGTGTGGGGTTAGCTGTCCTCCTGCCCCTAACTCTGTCCCATCTTTCAATTTAGGGCTTCAAAGAATTTAACGTTTCTTTCTCACCCTCTCCCTTCCCACTTGAACAGTTACACGTTGGTAGCTGAAACAGAATCTGACTTTGTTTTCAATAAATCCAGATATGAAGAAATTGCTCTTCAGAACCTAGTGGTCCAGTAGTCAAGTTTTTTCTGAATGCATAATCAATCAAACAGCAGCTAACTAACAGCTTGAAAAGGAGTTAGATTAGCTGCTCTTGGAAATAGTAAAGAAGCAACTGCAAATCAGATTTCATTAAATCAGCATGCCCTCTGCAAGTTCTTGAGAGGAGACAGTTCAGTCGCAGTTTTTATCTGGCCTCCTCCTTCTGGGAGTCATGGCCCCTTGAAGGAAGGACAGTTGCCTTGGGGCTAAGGCTCAGGGATGCACAGATGGCAGGGAGCCAGAAGCCGAGGTGGGCCCCGGTGGTCCTCAGCATGGATCTGAAAAGGTCTGGGTGACCAGGAGAGCCAAATAAAAATGGGGACTTGTCACTAGGCCAGGTCTAAGGCTCCAGGCATGCTGTCCTCCATTGCGCTTGCCTTTTTCCCCCCGGGCTGCATCTACTTCTCCAAGAGACAAATTAAGATGATGCCAGGAAACTAGGACTTTGTCCCAGTCCAATGTTACTTTCATCCTTATATTGTTAGCCTTGTCTTGGATGAGTTGGTTGGATTCACACAACCCATCAGACAAACAAGATTAATGCTTAGATCAATGTCGAAACCCAGCCCTATTTTCTCTTTGCCACAGGCCATCCTCTCCCAGCCACAACCTCTTTCTGCCTGATGCTTTCTTCTGCTTCTCCTGGTGAATGTTATGAGAAAAGAATACCAGAAATGGTTGGAGAGAGGAAAAGAAGGAAACCAGAAATTGCTAGACTGGGGGAGGGAGTAGCTAGGCAAAAAAGCCCCCTCTCCCATCCCCAAGAGGGATTGGGAGGATAGTCTCAGCTCTTCTCTGCTCTGGAACAGGCATGTTGTGGTCCGCCGGTGGCTTGCGGAACTGGCAGCAGAGTCGGACAGTGAGGAAGTTGGGGAGGAACATGGGCCAGTCCTGGAGTCTGGGGAAGGCTTGGACGATGGCTCTGCATTGGAGGCCATCTGGGAGGTATGTGCTGCCTCTGAAGCCTCCAGAGTCGGACCTCAGCGAGGCAGAGGAACAGGGGGAGCCTGTTTCCAGTGCGCGCATGCGCAGAGCTGCCAGAAGGCAAGAACAGTTAAAACAAAAGGGACAACTCAGGAGTAGGGCTTGGAGATGATTGGCCCCTCCCATAAGTCTTAAAAGAGGAGCAAAGCACATGGG